GTATATATATATATACAAACCTACCTATGCGTAGTGATAGCAGCAACGCGTGACGTAGTCCATTTGTTTAAACTTACTACGTTTAAACGGTCTGTTAAACAAAGATCAAATTTTCTGGTTTGCAAGTCGGTAGAATTGTGGCTAAAGTACCACGCATTTTGGTTAAACGTCGAAAAGGGAACAAAAAAAAAGCAAAAAAAAAGAAAGGAATGATGTTTGGATTATCAAGTGAAGTATACTACAGTTTTAAAAAATGAGTGACAGTTTAACGTCGCATATATGCATATTTGTGCACGACTGATTGACACATTGATGAACAAAAAAACAGATTTAATTTTTTGGGGATTACAGTGCTGTTTTAACGTTGTCGAATGATGTTTGCTTATGTGGTTGCAGTTGCGAAGCCTTAAAGGCAGAAATTGATGGATATGTTGCAATAAAGTAGTTTTTTTTTTTTTGTCGATGCTTATAACTTTTTCTTCTTTTGTTTAAAACAACAAAAATTTAAGAATTTATGAAAAAAGAAAACAAACTTTAGTGTTTTTAACTAGATCTAAATGAATTAGCAGAAAGAACAGAAATCGTTTGAAAGTACTGAGAATATTTAATTTTCTTGCTTCTTTTAAAACCAAATCATAGCCTAAATAATCATTAAGATTTGAAAGTAACGATTGATTAATTGTTGCACACCACTATGTCAAACAAACTGATATAGTCACAACCACATACTATCTTCTTCTCTGAATTATGTCTATGAATATAAAAAAAAAAAAGGAAATGCTCAATTTGCACAGAAGACCAACTGCTTTAACACTTATTTAAAAGTGCAATTTTATATTATTTACAGATACAATGATACATAGAAAAATTGCAATAAAAATTGGAAGCTAAAGATTATTTTTGAGTAAGAGAAGAGAATATTGGTGTTATGCATGAGCGGAAACTTCGTGAAAGTTCAGGACTTTAAGAGCTGTTGAACGATTTGTGAGACTAGAACAGTATACATTTTTACTGAAAAATCTTTCTAAAAAACCAAGTCAAGATGCAAAGTAAAAAGATTTTTGCAGGTACAGAAAGTGATCTGATTATAAGGCAGCTATTATTTGGTGAATGCGCCTTATTATAATGCAACAAAAAATAATATTTTATGACAAAGATTTGCTCATTTTTATTCTACTTGTACAGTGTAGTTTAAATGTATTTTTGATTGCGACAACTGCTTTAAAATAAGCTCCAATGAGAAACAAGGTTTTATGAGTACAAAAAATCAAACTTGGAAAAAGTAAAACTGCACTTAGACAAGTAATTTTTCACAGTAACGTCTCTGTCCAATTTTCCTGTAAGTGGAGTGAATAATGTTATAGCTCAAATTCACAAAATTGCTTTGGTAAAGAGCCAATATGGTTTTGTCTAGAATCTACAGAATTAGTAGAATCAGAATTCTATCTTCATACTTTGAGATGACAGCCATTTAGAAAGTTCAAATATTGCTTTTTTTTTTCATTTCCCTTTTGTAGCGCAACTGCAGTTTTTTAGTACTTTCTAACAAACATAAGAAGGTGGGTTTTTTAACAGTTGATGACGTTCTGTAGACAATGTCTACCTAAAAAGTGTAGAGAAAAAAGAGAAGTAAAATTTTAGTTCTGTGAAAAATTTACAACGATTACCTTGAATGTTTAAGAAATTCATGTTAAACTTCTTTCAGGTGAAAACGAAATTTTTTTTGCATTGATTTTTTCTCTACTTTTTGTCAATTGTTTCTGACTTTAAACAACGATGCTACCTTTTTTTTACCTGCTAGCAGTGACTAAAGTTTTTTCTATAGATAATGCCAGTTTAAGTTTCTTCAGCTATAGCGGCAAGTATTTCCGTTTTAAATGCTCGTAATGTTTCAAAAATTATGATAACCATTTGTTGTTTTTTACTGTACAATAAAATTATGTTATAAATTTATTACAATAACGATAACTAAAAGTTTTATAGATCTGTTTAACAAAGAAACTGCCGAGCAAAAAAGCTTTTCTCTTTTTACTGTATTCTTTACTACAAAAATCGTGCTTTCGCATGAGCAACTTGAAGATAAGCTAAATATTGAAAGCTAAGTGACCTACTATTTATAAAAATTTTGTTTTTGATTAACTACCGTGTATATTTTTTAGTTCTGTTCCTTTTGAATTTATCGCAGAAAGCTTACCAGGACACGTTTTTCTAATTAGTGATCTGAAAAAACGAAGTTATTGTTCCATCGAAAATTGGTGACAATCATCGTTGTTGTACTTTTCTTCCATGTGACTAGTGATTTTGATAAAGGGGAATGAAACTTAGCAGTAACAATGATGGTTTCCATTGGTATGAGCCTTCCCTTTGGCTTGGTATACTGTGCTCAGTTAATGTTCTGTTTACTTCTTACTACCGTTTATTTCACCTAAAATTTGTCAATAAAATAACTGAGTATCGGTTGCAACCAGTGTTTGAAGGCAGTGGCATCGTTTCTGTACAACATTTCGAATTAACAAAGGAGATTCAGAACTTATACTTCTTACTACAAAAACTGTAAAATTTTTGCTGTTTTTTAACATTCTAGCTGGCAGCATATTATCTGAACACAATCAAGCCTTTTACGTTTTGGTAAATTCTAGGGTCTTTTCCAACTTTTGATCTAACTATAAAAGTTACTTTATAGATTTGTATATTAAAAATCTGTGCCATAAAATTCATCTGCTTGATTCCAAAAGGAATTTTTTTCAAAAGACTTGTTAAATATTGGTTAAATTTTAAACATTTTTAAAAAATTGACAGTCGTATAATTTCTAAAGCAAAAATCTGTTAAAAGAACTTCTTTAAAGTCTTATTTTCATATTGGAATAGCAACAGTAAGATGAAAAAAGTGATATTGATAGTGCAGGGAGTGTCATGAAAATACGACTGAGGGCAAAAAGATGTTATCAGAAGCCGTTTACCTATTCGTCGACGAATTTTTTTTTATAAAATCGTTGGCCTGCAGCGGTAATAAATAAAGTTAATTGAAGCAAAATAGTGTACATCTCAAAGCCTACAAAGATTTTTAGTTTATGTATCTTTGATTCTACTCTTTTATTTTCGTTTTTATCTTTTACATATCTTCCTGCTTTTTTAATCGAGCTGACTTAACGTATATGACTTATAGGTCAAAAAGAACAGCAGTCTGAAGTGGTATCTGCAGTAGAGACTTTGTTTTAGTATCGAGGTTTTTACGGTTATATCTTTACATCTAAAATTTGATCTCTAAAAAAAACATTATTTATGAGTGTTTAAAGTTTTTCAAAGTTTCTGCTGTTGAAATGTATGAAGCAGTCAATGTTTTGTAAATTTGACGCTTGACCAGTAGCATTTTTTCTGAACAGTACTCCACTGAGCGAAAGCACACTACGCCTGAATCGAGTAATTAATATTGTTATTATGGTATCTCTAGTAATTTCTACTTCTCTCTTACTGTATACTCGTCAACCTGTTTTCAGAAAATGTGCTGATAATCGCTAATTACTTTTTCTAATTTTCTTTGACTCTTTAACAGATTCTTTTTAACGTTATTGGGTAGTGGACGTCCAAGTTTTTTTGTTGGCAGATTGGCAAAAGATGAAATTTGTAATATTTTGTACAGTGGTTCTAAGATTTCCCAAGAAAGTGTTTTTTTTTAGAATTTTCAAAACTTAAGTGGCTTTTTTTAATTTTTCAATTTACTTTAATTGTTATATGTATTACCAGCAAATGTGTATTTATGATAAAGGGTTTAACACTGCTACTTTATAAACGTGATAGCTGTAAATGTAATCGGAAATTTTAGCTTGGAAAGTCGTTAGTAAACAAGCGAGCATATTCTATCGCTTAGTCTATCATTCAATCTATTTCTTACCGATTGCTGTTCAATTCTCACAATGCATTCTTTGCGTCCAATCCTTTCTCGAGCTTTTAACACATCGTCCAAGTCTCTAAGTGCTGCGGGTATTGAAATTAAAATTTATCTAGTTCTAAACTAATTCAGATATTCTTTAATTAACTAAAACTCAAGGGACTGTAGCTTATCTAAAGATAGTTTTTTTTTGAAATTTAAAAAATGTTTAGCAGAATATATAAGCTCAGGCGGCTTTAAGTTTAATTCTTGAATATTTGTTGGAAGACTTATTTCGAGGTTTAAATCATTTTTCTGTAGTTACAAAGCTGTGTTATCTCCCAGCTTCTGTTTTTTATATTGTTTCAGAAACAGATTGGTGTTTATAAAGTCTTTTAAGGTGTAAGCAAAAGGTAAGATCGATTCATTTATCAAGTTATGAGGAATATTCTGTTATAGCTTTAAATGCGCATCCTCGTCAGGAGGTCGAAGGTATACCACCAGCTCCTTTAACACAGTTCAGCGAATCAGAAATGGTTCTCATTCATGCAGGTCTGTTTTGAAAAATATGGAAACTATTCTGGGTCTTCAGGATGACATGTGAGAAAATAGAAAAAGTTTGTATAAAGCATAAAAATAGCCAAAACTTCTATAGTACTTTCTTCCAGCTCGAAGTTTTGCAAATGTGGTGGTGCGACCTTTAGTCAAAGAGATGGACGAAAAGTCACAACTCGATCAACGTGTTCTCGATGGTTGTTTCGATCATGGTTTTATGGCAGCTGAAGTCGATGAGAAGTATGGGGGCTCAAGTGCCAGTTTTTTTGATGTAGCATTAGTTATTGAAGAGCTTGCAAAGGTTAATGTCTAATTTTGTCAGAAATACCCGATTTTTCAGTTCAGTAATTTTTTTTCTTTTTTCGTTAGTGTTTAATGTTGTTATTTTTTACAGGTAGATCCTTCGGTTGCTATTCTCGTAGATGTTCAAAACACACTCGTTACACCGCTGATAATGGAACAGGGTACTGAGCTACAGAAACAAAAATACCTCTCAAGACTGCATAAAGATATGGTAGACATTTAATTTTTGCTCTTTGCAATTTATTTATTAATTTAATTTATTCTTTTTTTGTGACAGCAATTGTTTTAGAGTTAGAAATATGGAGATAAGTAAGCCACTTCTTTCAACGCTGAGAGAATTTATACCTTGTAATGCATTTTTCAGGTTGGCTCTTTCTGTCTTTCGGAAGTTGGTAGTGGCTCGGATGCCTTTGCTATGAAAACAACTGCGACAAGAGACGATGACGATTACGTGATAAATGGCAGCAAAATGTGGATAACAAACGCTGAACAAGCCGGGTTTTTTATTGTAAGCTTTAATTCTTTATTATCGTTGTTAATTATTAAGCAAGCGCCACAGATATGTGGTTATGTAACAGTAGAAAATTTCTAAACAGTGAAACAGCAAGAGAGTACTTTTAGGTGTTTGCCAATGCAAACCCTAGCAAAGGCTACAAAGGCATTACTGCATTCCTTGTTGATCGACACTTGCCTGGTATTACAGTTGGCAAAAAAGAAAATAAACTGGGAATAAGAGCGAGCAGCACATGTCCTATTTTCTTCGACCATGTTCGAGTTCCGAAAGATATGGTCCTGGGAGAGATTGGAAAAGGTAAAGGTTTTTTTGAAAAGACCAAAAGTTAACAATAAAATAAGGCTTACTGTAGGCCTGAAGTAATAATATGTCGTACGATTGAATTGTTAGTTTAAAGAATTTATTGATGCAGTAATATTTTAAGTTTTTCTGAGTGTTTACTTTATTGAAAATACTGTTCTGGAGATTGAAATAAAAGCAAAATCTTTTTCGCCTTGAGTTAAGATTTTAGTGATGTTACAGTAATATTACAGCTTGTTTCGACTTTCCTTGCAATAACGATTAAACTATAAATTTTATCAAAGTGTAACTACTATTGAAAATAATGTATACTTCATTCAACTCTTTCGTAAAACTTAAATGAAATATTTTACTCAAGTTTTAAAACTAGTTCTCAAAAACTTTTTAGCTGGTCTTGCGCTAATTGAGCGTGTTCCTCGTTAATTAAACATGTGGATGTTCTTTGAATGATTGTTTTGGTAGTGCAACAAAACCATTTGCAAAAAACAATTTTTCTGAAAATTGAAATTAATTTGGACAAGTAAATGATATTAAATTCAGTCGCTCTTTTATTTTTAGATATTTATTTAAGTTTTACTTCTGTGACAAAAAAAGTTTATTTTAACTTTAACAAATATTTAGCAAAGCAAATACTTTACTTGGCACAAAAGAGTTTTATTTGTGATGAATACCTCTATAGAGGTCATAGTGAAATTATCAGTATGATTTAACAATTTTTTAAAACATTTATTGATTGTAACGTATTCTGCTTAAGAAATACTGCTTAGGATATAAGTTGGCTATTGAGTGCTTGAATGGAGGCCGAATTGGCATTGGAGCACAGATGCTTGGGCTTGCACAAGGTTGTTTTAATGAAACTATTCCATATCTCCAGGAACGTAAGCAATTCAATAAACGAATTATAGATTTTCAGGTGGTTATTTCGCTGTACTGTTAACATTAATAACTTTCTATTTAACATATACACACAATTAGCAGGTCGTTTAAGGAATTAGATGCTTAGTTCAAGTTAACTTAAATTTATTTTAGAGTATCCAACACCAGGTTTCTGATATTGCAACACAGATTGAGTGTGCGCGTTTGCTGGTCTATAATGCGGCTCGGCTAAAGCAAGTCGGTTTACCTTATGTAAAGGTATGAATAGAAATAACTTTTTATTCTAATGACTTTTATTACTCTACGATACTGTTGTACTAAAATGCTTTGTTTAGGAGTGATAAAAAATAATTCAATAGGTTTTTCTTAGTTTGACTTATTGTTAGTGAGAGTAACAAGTCGCGTGCAACTATCGAATGTATCATTATTTTGATAAGCTATTGCAAAGTTATGACATAAAGTTCATTTTAAGCTTCTGAGTGGAAATTCGATGATACACTGAAGCGTATTCGGAAAGCAGTGTAGGCTGGTCGTAAAAGCATGCTTAATGATCAACTGTTCTTTTGCTTCTCGGTCATCTTTTAAAGGGATGATAAAGAGAGGTCTTTGTAGATAAAGCATCTTTTGACCGGGAACACTTACAAGTACATACATTGACTGCCATTGTCGAGACATCTTCGGTAGCATAAAATAAGCTTTTCTTCGCATTTTAGGATGATTAAGCTAGAAGGGTTTGTTTAGATGCTAAACAAGTGAGAATTCTACAATGATTATGTTCGTCCAGCATGCTAAAAGTTAATTAACAGTAATTTCACGCGCTAAATAATTCTTATCTAATATTATCGTCTTCGTTTTTTCTTCTGTGTTACTTTCAACAATCGTAACTTAGAAAACACAGTAATGATCAATGGCTTAAATACTGTTAAGTTAGATGAACAAATTTATGAACCGTCTGTTGTGCTTGATAGCTTTGTGTTCAAATTTCTCCGTGGTTCTGTGATCGGTACTTTTTTTTTGTAGTACGATTGCAGCAAAGTTAGCACCAATTTTAGGAAGCGGCAATGGCAAAATGGTACAGTTCAGTAGTGGCTGGAAATACTGCCACTAAATGTGTTGAGTGGCTTGGCGGTGTAGGTTTTACTAAGGAATTTCCAGTGGAGAAGTTTTACAGGGACTGTAAAATTGGTAAGTTTAAAGCTTTGTTTTAATTGTTAAGTTTTTGCTTATATTTATGAGTTTTGTTGAGAGACTTTTTTTAGAATTATCCAAATTAATTTGAAGTAATAGTTTTTATATAATTTTTTTAAACTAAAGGATGTAATTCTTATTTTGATTATTACAAATTGTCTCATTCTTGATCCTATTTTTTTTCTATTTTTAGGTACAATCTATGAAGGAACATCCAATATTCAACTGAGTACTATTAGCAAATTGATTGATATGGAATTTATGAATAAATAAATTATATTATTCTGTTTTTCTTAAGTGCTTTTCTTTTTCCAAAGTTGTGCTGTCGTTTGTAATTTAAATTGATTTGCGATATGAGTTATCGTTGACGGTTACAAGTGACTGATAGAAATATTTCTTTTCTCACTGCGTCAACGACGACAGTCAGCTATAGTTGGAATGTGCCATAGCAGCAGAAGAACTGTAATGTGGTTTTTAAGTTAAAAGAGTAACCTCTTTTTCTCAAATAATCTTAGGATAAAAAGCCGTCTGATACAATTTTCTTGCTTATTCTTCTTCAGTTTTTGCTGTCGTTTACTTGTTTCTTTTTTTTTTTTTTTTGCTTGTCTACTATTGCTGTACCAAGCCAGGTTGTTGCTTAGAAAGAATTCTTTAAGAAATAAAGATTACAATGCAGTTCTGTGTTCAGTGAGAACTTCTGTTTACTTTTTTTCAGCTATATGAGTTATCCGGTAATCATGTTATCTGTATTCTTGCACTACATTACTTTTGATGAGTTTGGAGGTTGTCTTTTATAAAATCCTAATTCTTTCGTCTTTATTTGTCGAGGGAAAAGATGCAACAGTAACGAATTATAAATGTCAATATGTATGATTTTTTTTTGGTTTTAATAACAGAATAACAACTTTTTTTCCCGTTGCTACCAGGCATCTGCCATCAACTGTGCGAATGTAATATAGAACGCTAAAAAGTAGTGGTTAAAAAATGCATAGGTTTTTTGAAGTGTGTGAAAGTGCGACCATTGTACGAGGAAAAGTGAGAGGAAAGTGTGTGCTTTTAATGTAACTACTCAAAACTTATTGGTAGTTTAAGAAAAGCTCTAAAAAACTCTACTTGGATTTTTGCTGCTGGTCTTCTATTAGATGATATCAATTTGAAAACTGCTGGCAATTTAATTCGCTTTTCCTTGATTTACACTATAATTAGAGGTAGTCTTCACAACTTATGTGAGAAAGAACTTTGATGAGTAGAGCAATAAGCGAAAATTGCTAGAAAAAAAAAAAAAAGTATTTCAGACAGAGTAATTGAATAAAGTTGGGAAGTGGGGGAGAAGATTATTTATATATTTGTTTATTTATTTGATGATGAAAAGTTTGTAGCGAGACTAACAAAAAAAAGTATTTTGAAAGTATTTTAAAAAAGGAACTATTTTGGATTCGATTAGTACAAATAAGTTTTTTTTTTTTTTTTT